CCCGGGCATTTTTTTGGTTGCAGCCATCATTGTTGTTTGGCGGGCCCAGGCTGGGGATTTGAACCTGCCACCTTAGGTGTATGTGGCTGGCGCCTTAGCCACTTGAGCCACAGGCGCTGAGCCTAGAATTTAGTACATTTACACTATTGCATAGTATATAGTCATGCTAAAATTTTACTTAATGAAATAATTATTAAATAATACAGGGTGTCCTAAAAGTTGCCATTAAAGTTGCCATAAATAGGAAAATGGGAAATTGTAGCTAAAACGTACCTTTATTTAGAAATATTCCTTAGAAAATTTTATAAAGAGGTAGAGAATATTTTATAAATACTTTGTGACATCCTGTCAAACTTTATTTTTGAGATAGAGTCTTACTATGTTGCCCTCGATAGAGTGCTGTGGCATCACAGCTCACAGCAACCTCCAGCTCTCGGGCTTAAGCAAATCTCTTGCCTCAGCCTCCTAGGTAGCTGGGACTACAGGCACCTGCCACAACACCTGGCTATTTTTTGGTTGTAGTTGTCATTGTTGTTTGGCAGGCCCAGGCTGGGTTTGAACCTGCCAGCGCTGGTGTATGTGGCCAGCACCCTAGCTGCTGAGCTACAGGTGTCACACCTCAAACTTTAAAAATAATTATTTTTAGTATATCTTATGCAATATTTGGGAAAATTGAAATAGAAAATTGTTTTTATGAAATTCAAACTTAATCAGATGTTTTGTATTTTTATTTGCTAAATCTATAACCTTGTGCTTGGCATTGCAAGGGTGGGCAGGGCTGGGTGGCTTGGCCCTGACACACCTCTCTGCACACAGGCAGGTGCTGCGGGACCACAACTGCCTGCAGACGCTGCTGCAGCACCTGACCTCACACAGCCTGACGATCGTGAGCAATGCCTGTGGCACACTCTGGAATCTGTCAGCCCGCAGTGCACGTGACCAGGAGCTGCTGTGGGACCTGGGTGCAGTGGGCATGCTGCGCAACCTGGTGCACTCCAAGCACAAGATGATTGCCATGGGCAGCGCTGCTGCCCTGCGCAACCTGCTGGCTCACAGGCCCACTAAATACCAGGCAGCAGCCACTGCTGTATCCCCAGGCAGTTGTGCACCCAGCCTGTACGTGAGGAAGCAGCGGGCACTGGAGGCTGAGCTGGATGCCCGACACTTGGCCCAGGCACTGGACCACTTGGAGAAGCAGGGCCTGCCCATGACTGAGCCCAAGGCCACCTCCAAAAAGCCATTGCCGCCCCTGCGGCACCTAGATGGCCTGGCCCAGGATTATGCCTCAGACTCTGGCTGTTTTGACGATGATGATGCACCATCCCTGGCTGCAGCTGCTGCCACTGCAGAGCCAGCCAGTCCTGCAGTGCTGTCCCTGTTCTTGGGGAGTCCTTTCCTACAGGGGCAGGCACTGGCCCGTACCCCACCTGCCCATCGTAGTGACTTAGAGGCTGAGAAGGAGGCTGGTGGGGAGGTGGCTGTGGCAGCCCAGGCCAAGGCCAAGCTGGCGCTAGCTGTGGCACGCATTGACCGGTTGGTGGAGGACATTTCTGCCCTGCATACCTCATCTGATGACAGCTTCAGCCTCAGCTCTGGGGACCCTGGGCAGGAGGTGCCAAGGGAGGGCCGTGCACAGTCCTGCTCACCCTGCCGGGGCCCTGAAAGTGGGCGGCCAGGGGTAGGCAGCCGGGCACACCCGCTGCTACGGCTTAAGGCAGCCCATGCCAGCCTCTCCAATGATAGCCTCAACAGTGGCAGTACCAGTGATGGGTACTGCCCACGTGAACACATGCGTCCCTGCCCATTGGCTGCACTGGCTGAGCACCGTAATGACCCACGATGTGGGCAGGTTCGGCCTAGCCAATTGGACCTTGATTCCCCAGGTGGCCAGTCTGAGTCCCCAGCCCAGGAGTCTGCACCTACTGATGTCCACGTGCATACCATCAAGCTCTCACCTACGTACCAGCATGTGCCACTGCTTGAGGGTGCAACCAGGGGCAGTGCAGGGCACTTTGCTAGTCATGGTGCCTCCCCTGGGACCCGCAAGCAGGCCTGGCTGCCAGCAGAGACCCCAAACAAGGTGCCGGAGAAGCCAGCAGCTGCCCCGATGCCTGTGGCCAGCAAGGTGCTTCAGAAACTGGTACTGCAGGAGGGTCCCCTCTCACTCTCCCGCTGCAGCTCCCTTTCCTCCCTATCCTCTGCAGGGCACCCAGGCCCCAGCGAGGGTGGGGACCTAGATGATAGCGACTCTTCCCTAGAGGGGCTGGAGGAGTCTTGTCCCCAAGAGCCAGAGCTGGATGGGGGGTGGCGGGTTTCAGGAGCGGCCTCCCTGCCCGTGGCCATTCCTGCACCCCGGAGGGGCCGAAGCCAGGGCCTGGGGATAGAGGACGCCACACCATCCAGCTCCTCCGAGAACTATGTGCAGGAGACACCACTCGTCCTGAGCCGCTGCAGCTCAGTGAGCTCACTAAGCAGCTTCGAGAGCCCATCCATCGCCAGCTCCATCCCCAGTGACCCGTGTAGTGGGCTGGGCAGCGGCACTGTTAGTCCTAGTGAGCTGCCGGACAGCCCCGGGCAGACCATGCCACCAAGCAGAAGCAAGACACCACCACTTGCACCCGTGCCTCCAGGCCAGCATGAAGCCAGCCAGTTCAGCCTGCAGTGGGAAAGTTATGTGAAGCGCTTCCTGGACATCGCTGACTGCCGGGAGCGTTGTCGGCTGCCTTCTGAGCTGGATGCCGGCAGTGTCCGCTTCACTGTGGAGAAGCCAGATGAGAACTTCTCGTGTGCCTCCAGCCTTAGTGCACTGGCCCTGCATGAGCACTATGTGCAGCAGGATGTGGAGCTGCGGCTGCTGCCCTCTGCCTGCCCTGAGCGGAGTGGGGGCTCAGGGGGCGCCAGTGTCCACTTTGCAGGGCACCACCGGAAGGACGAAGGGCTGGTACCCACGGGCTCTCATGCTGCCCGTTCAGCTGCCGAACAGGAGCTGGAGTTGCTGCGCGAGTGTCTGGGGGCTGCTGTGCCTGCCCGCCTCCGCAAGGTGGCCTCAGCACTGGTGTCTGGCCACCGGGCATTGCCTGTGCCAGTATACATGTTAGTGCCCACCCCAGCACAGGAGGATGACTCCACAGACTCAGCTGAGGGCACACCAGTCAACTTCTCCAGTGCCGCTTCACTCAGTGATGAGACACTGCAGGGACACCCCCGGGACCAGCCCCGGGGGCTGGCAGACAGGCAGAGACCCATAGGCCACCCAGCCAGACAGACTGCTGGTCACCACCACAAAGCAGGGGCCACAAGCCGGAGCACGGAGCAGGCCCGAGGGTCTGGCAGGACCCGGACAGGGCTGGAGCTACCCCTAGGGCAGCCTTCAAGCACCCACTCAGACCAGGACAATTCACATCCCATCCGTGGGGATGGGGGGCTGCAGTCACTATGCCTCACAACACCCACTGAGGAGGCTGTGTATTGCTTCTACGGCAACGACTCTGATGAGGAGCCAGCCACCACCACACCAACCTTCCAGCAGGCATCCACTATCCCCCGAGTTCTAACTCGGGAGCGTCCAGCAGGCAGGAAGGAGGCCCTGGCCAAGGCAGCTGCCTTGCCTGCCCCAACGCCAGCTCAGGCCCAGCTGAGCCTTATTGCTGACGAGACCCCCCCTTGCTACTCCCTCAGCTCCTCTGCTAGCTCCCTTAGTGAGCCCGAGCCCCCAAAACAGCCAGCTGGGCGTCCACGGAGCCAAGAGCCTACAGTCACTAAGGACCTGGGCCTGGGAGGTGGGCACAACAGCTCTCCCAATCCTCAGGCTGAGGAAGAGTTGTTGCACAGGTGCATTGGCTCAGCCATGCCCAGGCGTCGGACCCCTGCACCTGGACTGCGGCGTTGTCGTAAGCTCCGAGCTGCCAGGCCAGATCAGCAGCCAGTAGAGTCCCCACGGGAGTGCAGTGAGGAGGCGGCAGGCTCCGACAGGGCATCCGACCTGGACAGTGTCGAATGGCGTGCTATCCAGGAGGACGCCAACTCCATCGTTACGTGGCTACATCAGGCAGCGGCTGCCACCGGAGAGGCCTCCTCAGAGTCTGACTCCATCCTGTCCTTCCCATCAGGGGTGTCGATGAGCTCTACCCTACAGCCTCCCAAGCACAGGAAAGGCCGACAGCTGGGGGAGGTGGGTAGTGCCCGGCGGCCAGAGAAACGAATTATGGCCTCAGCAGAAAGCAGGGGCAGCCCCTACTCCCCTGGAAAGCTCGAGAAGCTGCGAAGTGCTCAGAAGACAGAGTCTAGGATGCCAGCTGTGCTCCGAGGGCACACGGTTATCTATGTGCCCAGCCAAGCCACTCGGACCCAGCCCAAAGGTGCTCCTAGCCCCCGTGCCACACCGCGAAAGATGAGGCTTCCTGGTCCTGCACAGCCAGTGGCTCCAGTAAAAGCCCCCAGCCCCGGGCAGCAGCGGTCTCGGAGCCTGCACAGGCTGGGTAAGACCTCAGAGCTAGCAGCACTAAGTCAACCCCCTAGGAGCGCCACGCCCCCTGCTCGCCTGAACAAGACCCCCTCCTCGAGCTCCTCCCAGACCTCACCAGCCTCCCAGCCCCTGCCTAGGAAGTGCCTCCCGGCCCCACAGGCTGGGAGGCCCCTGCCCGGCCCTGGGGCCTCCCCTGTGCCCAGGACGCCGGCGCGGGCTCTGCTGGCCAAGCAGCACAAGACGCAGAAGTCACCCGTGCGGATTCCGTTTATGCAGAAGCCGGCCAAACGGGGGCCGCCACCGCTGGCCCGGACGGCCCCAGAGCCAGGACCCAGGGGCCAGTTGGGAGCTGAGGGGTCCCCGGGGATGCGCAAGGGCCGCCTAGGCCTGGTGCGCATGGCCTCTGCCCGCTCCAGTGGCAGCGAGGCCTCCGACCGTTCCGGCTTCCGGCGACAGCTTACTTTCATCAAGGAGTCTCCGGGCCTGCTGCGACGCCACCGCTCAGAACTGTCCTCAGCCGAGTCCACTGCCTCTGCCCCCCAAGGCGCATCTCCTCGTCGAGGCCGGCCTGCGATGCCCGCTGTCTTCCTCTGCTCCTCTCGCTGCGACGAGCTTCGGACCCCCCCGCGGCAGACCCTGTCCCCACAGCGGCCCCCAGCCGCGCGGCCCGGCCCCGGCGAGCGCGCAGCCCGGCGCCCCAGCTCTGAGAGCCCGTCCCGCCTGCCGGTGCGCACGTCGGCCACGCGGCCCGAGGCGGTGAAGCGCTACGCGTCGCTGCCGCACATTAGCGTGGCGCGCCGTCCCGACAGTGCCACCTCCGCGTCTCCCGGACCACCCGACGCCGTGCGCCGCAGCAGCGACGGAGAGGCCCGACCCCTGCCCAGGGTGGCCGCACGGGGCACCACTTGGCGCCGCATCCGGGATGAGGACGTGCCTCACATTCTGCGTAGCACGCTGCCGGCTACGGCGCTGCCCCTCAGGGGTGCCACGCCAGAGGAGGGCCCAGCCGGCCCCCAGCCGAGCAAAACCAGTGACGCGGTGGTCCAAACCGAGGAGGTGGCCACCCCTAAGACCAACTCCAGCACGTCCCCGAGTCTGGAGAGCAGGGAGCCCCCGGGAGCCCCGGCTGGCAGTCAGGCCGCCTCCGGTGGCAGTGATGTGGATGGGCCTGGCCCCTCCAAGGCACCCAGCACCACCCCTTTTGTCGTCCATGAGGGCCTGGGGGTCGCTGTAGGGGTCTTCCCTGCCAGCCGGCACGGCTCTCCCAGCCGTTCGGCCCGCGTACCCCCCTTCAATTACGTGCCCAGTCCCATGGTGGCAGCTGCAGCCACTGACTCTGGGGCCGAGAAAGCCCCCGCCACCACCTCTGCCAGCTTCCTGGAATAACGGTCTCGCTGGCCTTCTGGAACCTTCTCTCCTGACCCAGCAGTCCAGTGTGACCGCTGGGGAGCCTGCTCTATAGATGCTCCCAATAGGTCGCCCCAGGGCCTCTGCCCACTGAGTCCCATCGCAGAGCCCCAGTATCCTTCCGCCTCATGGGAAGACCTTGCTGCTGTGCTGTGGGTGCTGCCGCGGGGCTCGATCCCTTCCAAGGAACACAGGAAAGGGCACCCTGGCCAGCACGCGGAGACCCTGAGGGCTCTGCTGTCACTAGCTCCAGCCTTCAAGCAAAAGCCTTTCCTCTCAATAGCCACTGCCTGGCCTGGGCACGGGTCAGCTTCTGCATCCGCCCTTGGGGCAGCGCTGAGGAAGGGTGGAGTCACGGTGGATCTGCCCACGATTGTGCTCTGAGAAGGCTGTAATTACTGCAGCAGCGGGTAATTTGTTAATGATGGCTTTGGGGGGCTTGCTTTCATTCTGAGCCCCAGCTGGGGGAAGAGTCGGGTGGGGGTGTGTGGCTGAGCCCAACAGAAATGCGCCTCCACCCAGATGGTGATGCCCAGGAAGCCTGGAGAAGACACCCCAAGGAAGTACCAAGAAAAGTGGGAGCTACTGGCTCATCCTGCCCCTTGCAGCCCTCAGAGGAAGACTGGGAGGCAGGTGGTGTGTGGATGGGAGAGGACGTGGTGCAGATGCTGGGGTTCCGGCTCACGTGGGGCCTGCCCTGTGTTCTGGCTGCAGGCCAGTGTCCTTGGACTATACCTGGAGATAGATGCTGGCTGCCAGCTGGGTTGACCCCAGAGGTCACTGGAGTCAGGATCAACTCAGCCCAGCTGTTCTGGGTGAGGCAAAGGGAAAGAGGCCAGGAGAATCCCAGTATAGAGCCCCAGGGAACTGGAACACTGGCCTCTGCCCCCAGGACTGCACTTTATGAAGGTGGTTGGTGGAGAGTGCTGATGGCTATGCTGCTGCTGGTCGTGTTCTCTTTTCAAGTCCTTTCTTATATATGACTCATAGACTGCTGGGACCTAAGAACTCCAGGGGCAGCACTGTTGGAATCAGGGGAACAGGAGGGTTGAGCCTCCTCACAGAGCTGGGAAGCCTGAACTCAATGCAAGGCTTTGAAAGGAAATGGGAGCCCAGGACCTGGCTGGCAGGACATATCGAGGCCAGGGCTGCTGAAAATGCCATGAACAAGGTACTAGAAAGTGTGTGGTGCCAGATGAGGAGGAAGCAGACAGGGAGTCTGAAGACTGCCCAGTATACCCATCCTCTCTTCCCAGCCACAGCAACTAGCACCCTGTCCATGGCTCCACAGGGGCTTCTGATCTGGGACCCAGTACATGTGAGTTCTAGCTCTGAGCATGTCTTTCTGCAGAAAGAGCCAATGACCTCTTTCCTGCAGGATCCCAGCTATGGGAAGTACTGCTCTTTGCATAGATCTGCCTGCCATCACAAACTCTGTGGAGAGCCGCTCCCAAGAGGCAGACGCTGTTCCATATACTGATTCCCAGTCCCTTCTCTGGGAGGAGGGAAGTGGGGCTTGAGAGGCAGAAGACAGGGCACACCATCTTCCCTCCTGTCCCCAGCACAGGAAGGCTCAGCCTCTCTGACAGGACCTGTCCTCAACTTTGGCGCTTTTGTGAACAATGCCTATTTTAGGCCCTACTCCAGAGATAAAGTGCTGCTGCTACTATAAATATCAACTGTGTTGCATTAGAAGTCTCTGAAATGCCGTGTCCTGTATACTGATGCCCAGGGCTCTGTGGACTGCAGCATCCTTAAATCTCCAACAGAGGCCAGAGGCACCACATGCTCACTGGCAGGACCTTGCTGGCAGGCAGGGCTCTGTTCTGCTGGTGACTGGACAGGGAAGGGAGGACAAGAGCTGAACAGGGAGACCTCCCCTACCAGGAGCCTCCTCAGGACACAGCAGAGGATGGCCTCTCTGGAACTCCCTTCCCCCACCTACAGCCCAAGGGAACAAGCTTTATGGTCTCTCCTGAGCCTTCAGATTCAACCATGGGCCAGCTGAGCCTAAGACAGCCTGGGCAGTAGGAAAACAGCAGGCAGTCCCCAGGCCACTCAGCTGCAGAGGTGCAGCCCCATCTCACACAGAGTCCCTGGGTGCTCTCAATGCCCTGTGCCTCTATCTTCCCATGTGGGTCATGGGGTGAACTCTCAGAGCTACCTCAGGCTAGCAGGGCAGCTGCTGAGGAGGACCAAGCCTTGCACTGCTCCCAGAACCTGGGACTGGTGGGGCACTGCCCATACCACCTCCACCGGCTGAATGCTGGGCCAGCAGCAAGGATCTTGGGGCTCCCACCATCCCTTTCCCTGCCATATCCCAAGTCTGGGGTCACTTCTGTTTTCTTCACCACCTGCAGCAGGGGGCATGGCCATACCTTGCCATCCTCTTTGGACAATTAACTGGAAGCTAGACCTAAAAGCCAGAGTCTTATGATCCTGCTCAGCTACTGGTCTCTCTGCACCTGGACCAGCCCCAAGGGAACTGAGGGTCTGATGTCCTGAGAGTGATGGACAATAACCACCACCTGACCCCACCCTACCACATTTGGGTGCTGAACTCGGGGTGACACCCCCCCACACTGACACAGTCTTCCTGAGCAGCCAACAGCATTACCTCATCCTACCCAGCATGACTCAAACCTGGCCTTTCTCTGGTTCACCCTGCTGCCACCCTGTCTTTGTACTAGGTCTCTGCAGTGTTAAATGGACATGTAAATAGCTAATTTACCCCCAAATGTAAAGCCATCTGTCAGCAGAAGACATATGCAGTCAGCTCTCCGACTCCTGTGTACCTTTAATAAACTGAGCTGTTCAATCATCCTGTGTTGTCTGTGGCTCTTATTCTCCAAATGGGCTGAGGATGAGGCAGGAGTTGGAGAGGACTCGCCTAGTCCTCCTATCCCAGTCACCAGCCTGTCCCCAATGCTGGGTCCATAGGATAAGCATGGAGCCTCACTCCTGTCAGGAACAAAGTGATGAGGCTTTTGCTTGAAAGATGCAGGCAAGATCCAGGCCTGAGGTTTATTTGAGGGCACAATGGATGAGCAGGGGAGCAGCTGGGTGAAGCTGGCAGGATAGTCTGCCTGGCACCCTGGAAAGCTTCTGAGGGTAGAGAGCATCCCAAAGCCAGGCAGCCACACCTGGATGTTTGTACCTGGCAATCAGTACTTGGCTGTAGGCAGGAGGGCACCTGTAAGCCATTTGGAGTTGAGGACAAGGCAGATGCAGCACCTGCCACTGGCACCATAGCCAAGAGGTACACAGGGGCTGGGGAGCTGGAGGGACCCACATCAGAGTCACTTCCAGGTAGCACAACCCTGGCACAGCTCTGCAAGAAGCAAAGTAGGGGAGGGAATGCCAGGGGTTGGGCCATGAGATCTGGGCCAGGAGCTATCAGTCCCTGGCAAGGACCTTCAACAGCACCTGAGGGTTTGACTCCAGCAAGGTAAGCAAAGCTCTTCCAGGTTGTGACCAATGTGAAGCCCCCAAAAGTTCAGGCTGGTTCAGGCCGATAGAGGAAAAAGAAATATCTTCCACATTCCAGAATCATCTATGGGTCTGAGAAGAGCAGGCCCCAGGCTCGGGCTCGTAGGTCCAATGGGTGCTCTTCCACATACAGTTCCTGGATAGGACCCAGTAGGGCCCTTGCGTTCACCTGGGCCAGGGTTCTGTTCCTGGGCCTTGATCATCCCCTCCCAACCCTCCAGGAGCGGCACCACTCAGACCTGCTGGACACAGGTAGATTTTACTTGCAGGACCTGGGGGTATCCTGGGGGCTTCCCAACCACTTCTCTCATGACCCACATGTCTCTAGTTAGTGTCTAATTTGACTTTTACCATGAAAGGCCCTTTTCAAGTCCCTTTGCCTCCTGAATTTCCATCTGCCCCAGGGGCAGAACCTGCATTCCAGCAGGCCCTGGAGCTGCTCCCACATGGGTGGGCAGCAGCAAGACCTGGATGACCACAGCCAGCTCTGGGCAGTGACTAATGAGCCGCCTGTCAGCCAATGGCTGAAGGTAAGCCTAGCAGGGTCTCAAAGGCAGTGGCGACAGTGACCCCAGCAGCCCAAAGGTCATTGAGAAGATAAATGTAGGAGCCCTGAAAGTGAAAGGAAGTGAGAGCAAAGGCTGATGCCGGTTTTCAGGTGGTCCTGACACTGGGTGGGCACCCATGTGACAGTTAATAAGTCAGTGCCACAACTCATCAGGACTCACAGGTGGACAGACAGATAAATGCCTGCGCCCTGAGATAGGAAGGAGGTAGCAACTGTTCTTAGAGATCCTATCTCCTATTAGGGCTGCTGCCACTGTGAGCAGAGGAGGGACAGAATCAAGGCAGAGCAGGAGTCCTCCCCATCCAGTGGAGCATATGGATGATGGTGCCAGCTGGGCAGTCACACGAGCTCAGTGTGACAGAGGCAAGCGTGGGTGCTGGGGACCTATGTGAAGTGCCAGCTTGGAGCCAATGGGCATGCAGGTCTCCAGTGGGGAGGCCCGGGGTAGGCAGCTGAGAGGTCAGACTGAGGCAGCAGTTGCCGTCTCCAGCAGTGCTGCCTGCTTCACCTGCTCAACCTCCCGCTCCAGATCCTCGCCGGCTCTCCGAAGGTGCTCACACTTCTGCCTTAGCCCATTGCCTGCCCGCTGAAGCTGCTGGTTCATCGCCACGTAGGCCCAGCTCTGCTGGTAGAGCTCCTTCCACTGGGCCTTGGAGTCCTCTGTACTCCTGGAGGGACCTGGGGGGTCTAAGGACAGGATACAGTTGCATCATGGGAAAGGCAACCCTAAAATACATACTCATGGGCATCCCACGGGACATCTTCCTGAGCAACCTGCAGGGCAGGGTCTTTTCAAAATCACATGTTTTCTGGACAGCCAGCCAAGAGACACAGGCCTCCCCTGTAGCCCTCAGAAAACAGAAGTGGCCAGGGTACTGGGCCACAGAAAAAGCCCAATCCTGGCTGTAACACCCATCTGTCATCCCTGGCTCTCTGCGAGCCAGAGATGGGACAACTCAGATGCCAAAAACATCTCTCAATGACTAAGCAACCTCAGGAAACCCTGCACTTAGGAGGTGTGATGACTCATTTCCTGGTAACTCCCAAATCTATTATAGACCACCCACAGACTCCCCTGCTCTGCAGAAAGGGCTGAAGAGGCAGGGTACGAGGCTCATACCTGTAATCCTAGCACTTCAGGAGGCTGAAGGGGGTGAATTGCCTGAGTTCATGGGTTCTAGACCAGCCTGAGTAAGAGCAAGACCCATCTCTAAAGATAGCCAAGTGTTGTGATGGGCGCCTGAGTCAAGAGAAGAGGATCACTTGAGGCCAAGAATTTGAGATTGCTGTGAGCTACACCATAGGGCTCCATAGAGGATGACAAAGTAAGACTGTCTCAAAAAAAAAAAAAAAAAGGAAGGGCTGAAAAGCACAGGCTTTGAGGTCACTCAGGGACATGCTGGGGTCCCCTTTGCCCTGGCCTGGCCCTCTTGTCTTATGCACAGAAATGCCACTGCCTGTCTTGTCCAGAGACCATATGGGTTCCCACTAGTGCAGCCTACATATCCAGTACAGGCTCAGAGAAGACTGCCGTTTGATTTAAAAACCCACTAATTCACCTCCGGCTTTCATAATGAGGTGGAAAAGGCCAGACAGAGCATGTGGACAAGGCTGGCAGAGAATGCACTCTCCCTGGAGTGAGCCCCTGCACTGTTGTGCTTCAGTTTCCCCACACTCAAATGTGGGTGGACCTGCACTCATGATTCCTTTTTTTTTTTTTTCCAGTTTTTGCCGGGGCCAGGCTTGAACCCGCCACCACCCCCGACCCCCAACCCACGGTATATGGGGCCAGTGCCCTACTTCTTGAGCCAAAGGTGCCGCCCAAGTACCTATGATTCTTAAATTGGAACTCAAACACCCTCAGATAACCCAGCTGCACACTGAGAATAATCCAGCATATGTACCTAGACCAGCAATGTCCCAAAGAACTTTCCAGATGAAAATGTCTTCCCCTTGTGCTGTTCATTACAGCAGCCACTAGCAAAACGTGATTCTTTTTTTTCTGAGACAGTCTCACTGTGTCACCCTTAGTAGAATGCTGTGGCATCACAGCTCACAGCAACCTTAAACTCTCGGGCTTAAGTGATTCTCTTGCCTCAGCCTCGAACAACACATGATTCTTTTTTTTTTTTTTTTGAGACAGAGCCTCAAGCTGTCCCCCTGGGTAGAGTGCCGTGGCGTAGCTCACAGCAACCTCCAACTCCCGGGCTCAAGCAAGTCTCCTGCCTCTGCCTCCCAAGTTGCTGGGACCACAGGCGCCCACCACAACGCCTGGCCATTTTTTTGGTTGCAGCCATCATTTTTGTTTGGCGGGTCTGGGCTGGATTCGAACCAGCCACCTTAGGTGTACGTGGCTGGCGCCTTACCCACTTGAGCCACAGGCGCCGAGCCACAACACTTGATTCTTGAAATGTGCCTAGAATAGAACAAGCAACTGAAATTTTAAATATTACTTAATTTACAAATTGTTCCCATCTGAGCTTGGTGGCTGACACCTGTAATCCTACCTCCCTGGGAGGCTGAGGCAGGAAGATCACTTGAGCTCAGGAGTTTCAGACCAGTCTGAGAAAGAGCAAGACCCCATCTCTATTAAAAATAGAAATATTAGCTAGGCACAGTGGTGTGCACCTATATTCCTAGCTACACAGGAGGCTGAGCTAGAAGCAGCACTTAAGCCCAGGAGATAGAGGCTGCAGTGAGCTGTGATGATGCACAACAGCTTGGGTAACAGAGTAAGACTGTAGCACAGTGGTTATGGTGTTGGCCACATACACCCAGGCTGGTGGGTTTGAACCTGGCCCAGGCCAGCTAAACAACAATGGCAACTGCAACAAAAAAATAGTGGGGCCTTGTGGTGGGCGCCTGTAGTCTCAGCTACTTGGGAGGTTGAGGCAAGAGAATCACTTAAGCCAAACAGTTTGAGGTTGCTGTGAGCTGTAACACTGCAGCACTGTAAAGAGGGCAATATAGTTAGACTCTGTTTCAAAAAAAAAAAAAATCCCCATAGAAATCCTCACCTTCCATCTTCTCACTTGGGGTGTGTGTGTGTGTGTGTGTATATATATATTTGAGACGGTCTCAATCTGTCACCCTGACACCCTGAGTAGAGTGCCATGCCATCATATAGCTCTCAGAAACCTTCAACTCTTGGGCTCAAGCAATCCTCTTGCCTTACCCTACAGAGTAGCTTGGCCTATAGGCGCCTGCCACAACACCAGGTTAGTTTTTCTGTATTTAGAAGAGACAGGTCTCACTCTTGCTTAGACTGGTCTCAAACTCCTGAGCTCAAGCAATCCACCTGCCTCGCCCTTCCAGAGTGCTAGGGTTACAGGTATGAGCCACAGTGCCCAGCCTCATGTAGTATACTTAAATCTAATGTCTCTTTCCCATTAGAACAGCTCAGGAGCAGGCATTCTTGTTTTTTTGTTTGTTTGTTTTTTATTGTTGGGGATTCACAGAGGGTACAAAGGGTTACATTGATTGTATTTGTTAGGTAAAGCATTCTTGTTTTTTCTGTTCACTTCTCCATCCCCCAGTGCTTCAAGCACAGAACCTGGCACATAATATCTGCTCAAAAAAGGTTTGAGAGCCATATAAAGTGTGCAGTGCTAGGCACAGTGGTGCAAACCTAGTACTCTGGGAGGCCAAGCTTGTAAGATCACTTGAGGTGAGGAGTTCAAGATCAGCCTGAGCAACATAGTGAGACTCTTGTCTGTACAAAAAATTAAAAATATGCTAGACACAGTGTTGCAGTGGTGCACACCTGAAGTCCCAGCTTCTCCAGCGGTTAATGCAGGAGGACTGCTTAAGCCCAGGAATTGGAGGCTGCAGTGAACTATGATGATTCCACTGTACTCCAGCCGGGGGGACAGAGCAAGACCCTGTCACTAAATTAAAAAAAAAAAAAAAAAGTTTTTAAAATCATTAACTGCCGACTACAGGCGCCCACGGCAAAGCCCGGCTGTTTTCTTGTTGCAGTTTGGCCGGGACCGGGTTTGAACCCATCACCCTCGCTATATGGGGCCGGCGCCCTGCTCACTGAACCACAGGCGCCGCCCTGGCCCACCCGTTTTAAAGGACCCCTGAAGACAGGCCTCACTTTACAGATAAGGTGAGGTTTAGAGAGGATGAGGTTTATAGTCATATTACTGGCCTCTGAGTTTGTGCTCCTGATTCCGCCGTTTCACTAGATCTGCCAACTCGGGCTGGGGTCATCACCAAGGCCCGGGTGGAAGTTAGGAGTGTGCTTCTACCCCTTCCTCCTTGCTTCTAGGGTCTTGGGTTCGCTTTCCCTGGACCTGGGCTCCCCTTACCTTCAGCTGCCAGGGCAGTGAAGACCGGGTCCTTCGCCTGCGCCCTCTGAACGTCTTCCAGGATCTGCTCCACCGTAGGAGGCGCTGGGCGAGTGGGCAGCACCACGCGCTTCTTGGCCTTGGAGCCCATCCCTGGAGGCGGGGGAAGGGAGCCTTGACCCGGGTGTCCACCTATCAGCCTTTGTCTGGGCCGTCCCTCCCGCCCAGCGAAATCGTACGCACCCGTCGCGGACCTGCTCCGGGGAAGCCCGCCCTGCTCCGCTCTTCCGGGCTCGCCCAGCTCCTGGCCCTCCCTCTGCCCAACCACAATAGGTCTGGGGCTTCAGGTCAGGCTCGACCTCTGCCTCAGTTTCCCCACGGAGAACCCTACCACAGGCCCATTCCAATCAGGGAACGTACCTGCAGACCCAAAGGCTGCCAAAAACACTCACTTCCGCTTCCGATCAGAGCACCGCCCCGCGCTCCAGCACGTGACACGTGCTTCCGGTCACCTCCAGCTTCGGCCCGCCTCTCGCCGTCGGGCCCCGCCCCCTCTCCTTAAAGAGGCCGGTTCCCTGAAGGTACCAGTT